ACACACACACTGCATACCTTACACCTCTGCGCCCACTAACACAACACACACACCATACACTAACACAGCACTCTGCATACACTGTACAACACACACACACTGCATACTGCATACACTAACAACACACACACACACTGCATACACACTAACACAACACACACACACACACACTGCATACACTAACACAACACACACACACGTACACTATTGCAACACACACTGCATACTATACAACGCACACTCTGTACACCTAACAACACACACACACACATGCATACACTAACACAACACACACACACACACACACACTGCATACACTAACACAACACACACTCTGCATACACTACTTTGCTGCATACACTAACTGCAACACACTCTGCATACACTAGCTGGCCGCACTGCATGCCTAACTGTACACCTCTTGCATACACTAACACAATACACACACTGCATACACAACACACACTGCATACACTAACACAACACACACACTGCATACACCAATACAACACACACACTGCATACACTAATACAACACACACGCTGCATACACTAACCCAACACACACTGCATACACTAACACAACACATACACACTCTGCATACACTAATACAACACACACGCTGCATACACTAACCCAACACACACTGCATACACCAATACAACACACACACTCTGCATACACTAACCCAACACACACACACTGCATACACTAACACAACACACACACACTGCATACACCAATACAACACACACACACTGCATACACCAATACAACACACACGCTGCATACACTAACCCAACACACACTGCATACACCAATACAACACACACACTCTGCATACACTAACCCAACACACACTGCATACACTAACACAACACACACACTGCATACACCAATACAACACACACACACTGCATACACCAATACAACACACACACTCTGCATACACTAATACTACACACACGCTGCATACACTAACACACACACTGCATACACTAACACAACACACACTCTGCATACACTAATACAACACACACACACTGCATACACTAACACAACACACACTCTGCATACACTAATACAACACACACGCTGCATACACTAACCCAACACACACTGCATACACTAACACAACATACACATTGCATACACCTATACAACACACACACTGCATACACTAATACAACACACACGCTGCATACACTAACCCAACACACACTGCATACACCAATACAACACACACACTCTGCATACACTAACCCAACACACACTGCATACACTAACACAACACACACACTGCATACACCAATACAACACACACACTCTGCATACACTAATACAACACACACGCTGCATACACTAACACACACACTGCATACACTAATACAACATACACTCTGTATACACTACACACTAACACACTCACTGCATCCACTATACTGACACACACTCTGTTTCGCTACACATTAACACACTCTGCATTCACTACACTAACACACACTCTGCATCCGCCACACATTAACACACTCTGCATTCACTACCCTAACACACACACTTTGCATCCGCTACACACTAACACACTCTCTGCATTCACTACACTACCACACACTCTGCATCCGCTACACACTAACACACTCTCTGCATTCACTACACATTAACACACTCTCTGCATTCACTACACTAACACACACTCTGCATCCGCTACACACTAACACACTCTCTGCATTCACTACACATTAACACACTCTCTGCATTCACTACACTAACACACTCTCTGCATCCGCTACACACTAACACACTCTCTGCATTCACTACACTAACACACACTCTGCATCCGCTACACACTAACACACTCTCTGCATTCACTACACATTAACACACTCTCTGCATTCACTACACTAACACACTCTCTGCATCTGCTACACACTAACACACTCTCTGCATCCGCTACACACTAACACATACTGCATTCACTACACTAACACACACTCTGCATTCACTACACATTAACACACACTCTGCATTCACTACAAATTTACACACACTCTGCATTCACTGCACTAACACACACACTACATTCATTACATTGACACACTCTGCATTCACTACACACTAACACACTCTGCATTCACTAAACTATGCATACACTCTGGATTCACTATACTGACACTTACTCTGCATTCACTACACTAACATACACTCTGCATTAACTGTACACACAGCATCCACTACACAAACATCCTGTATTCACAGTACACACACTACATCCACCACACATTGAAACACTCTGCATTCACTATACACAGACACTGCGTCTAATACATGCACTACATCCACTACAGACACTGCACCCACTAAACACATTTCATCTAGTACATACAAACACTACATCCACTACACAAACACACACTACATCACTGTACACACAGTATACCCACTACTCAAACACAATCTGCGTTCACTATACACACTGCATCCGCTACACAAACACACACTCTGCATTCACTGTACAAACAGTATCTAATACACACAAACACTACATCCATTACACATATTCTAATTCACTTCCACTATACACACCACATTCAGTCCTGCATCATTGTCAGCGGACCAGGTAGGGCGTGGGCGGGCCCGGGAGTGAGGGGGGGCCCAAACCTTGTGCTTTGTCAGGGGCCCCAAAATTTCTGATGGCGGCCCTGTGAATACCACCCAGCCCATCTGTGTGTCTCTTTCACCCCCCAGACCCTCTGAGTGTCTCTTTGCCATCCCCGCTTTGTGTCTCTTTTTCCCCAGCTCATTTGCATTTCTTTGTCTCCTTCCTCATCCCTACTTGTGTTTCTTTCTCCCCCTATATCCTATCTGTGTTCCTTTCTTTCCCCAGTCCCTCTGTTTGTCTCTTGCACCCCCACATCCACCAGACTCTTTTTAAGTCTTTTTCTCCTCTTACCCAGCTTTTCTGTGTGTCTCTTCCCCCAGGCCCTTTGTGTGTGTCTTTTCCATCGCCTCCCTATGTGGTCTCTTCCACATTTCCCTATCCTTTGTGGTCTCTTCCATCACCCTCTCTTTTGTGGTGCCTCTTCCCTCCTGTTGTACCTCCTTACTTTCCCTTTGTAGTGTGACCACGAAGTAGAGGAAAGATGCAAGATAGGTGGCCACCTAAGGACTTGTGCTGAGTAGGGCCTCGCAGCCACCTAATTCACCACAGGGCATACTGATCCTGACACTGGGAGAGGGCTCAGCGGCTTGTCCAGTGTGAGCATTACCACTGCAGCACTCAGACATTTCAAACGCTGGAGCTCTTGAGACCTCTACCACCTGGTCTTGCATCCGGCGGAGCTGCAGACTGATTAACAAAGCCACTGGACCACCAGGTAGAAAGACCACTGGACCACCAAGTAATGTATTGCTTTTTTTCAGAGTGGGGAGGCTGGTCACTAAAACACAGCCTCACCACACACTATCACCCCCCACACACAATGTCACCATTCCTAAACACTGTCACCCTCCTATACTCTGTCACCCTCACACACCATTATCCTCTCTCACACACTATCCCATTACACACTGCTACCCACCCCACACTTGCTCTTTCACCCTCCCCACACACACCCATTGTCACGCTCCAACACACATAGTTACCTGCCATACACACTGTCACCCTCCCATGCACACACTATAACCCTCCCCACACAATGTCATCCCCTTCACCCACCCACCCTAATCTTTTTTTTTTTTTTATTCTTTATTTTGTCGTGCATAGATTATACAAAATACAGTTACGTCGGCAATGCCAAAACAGCTAATGCCACGGTGTACATAAACATATATAAACAGTTTTATGGCAAAGATATTTTTTGCACATTTTTTATTTAATAGGAGTAGACAGTAGTGTGGTGCGAATCTTAGCATGTGTGTGAGAAGTTGCATGGATTATACTACTGATTATGTCAATAAGAGTGTAGCAGACGTTTAATGAGTGAGTGTATGTAGTTTCTTGAATAGGCCTAAACTGCACTCACCACAATACAAATAATGCAAAAGATACATGTCAGTCGCCAAGACAAGCTGGTAAAATCAAATATACTACTATGCTAGGCGGTTAGGGACGCACTAAGCATCATGATAATGCTTAAACAAAGGTACCCCCATGTCATAATCGTTATTAAGGAAAAAACATAGGAGTATTGAAGGAGTGGTGAATCTGCGCTTTCCACAGTACCAATAATGAAAGATAAACATGCTAGTCGTTAAAAACAGGCTGGTACGGTTAAATATACTAGTATGCTGGGTGATTAAGAACATGCTTGGTTGCTGTGCCTGTCGCATCAGTGTCTAAACACATCGGCAATAAGCTTCCTTGACTAGTGTAAAATAAACATGCAGAGCTAAGTACAGGTTAATATTAAGCTTAGTGTCCATTGCGATCTTAAGTCCTCTTGTGTGGCATGCCGCCCATTAAACTCTACGTTCTCGCTTTTATGGCATGGTGGGGCTAGTATTATGACATTGTCCTGCTGCAGAGAGTTCAGGAGGCCCCCAACAGAGTCTCTTTCATCTGATGCCCTCTTTATGGAAATGGTATGTGCCCGTCGATGGGCTTCGGCAGTCTGCCGCTGTGCAGATGTCAGCGAGGGTGTCGTTCCAGCCCCAGGCTGGTGTGCAGGCCTGCATCTCTTGGCCACAAACTCGGCTACCTCTGGAGCACGAGTTTCCTCTACGTGCGGGAGTGACAGAGGAGCTGGTGATCTTCTGTCGCTTGCACCTCCGTGAAAGTGGACAATGCTTCTGGGCTCTCTGCCCTGTGGCCTGCAGCTCGGGTGGGCTAGGTAGATTGGTGAGTAGATGTGGTGGCGTTGTGCTCAAGGGTTTTTTCCTCACTCCCCACCGCCCGTGGCTCCCTTCACCTGTTTGAGTTGCTCATTGCCATTCCATGAGTTTGTCCCTGAAGCGGTTTGGAATCACCCCCAGACTCTGCAGGGGGTCATACCGTTGCGTTTGTTTCGGCTGCATATTCACCATGCGGATTGCGCTGCAGGACGCCATTTTAGGTGCGCCATGTGAGGGGCTGCAGCTCTGTGTTTTAAGTTCATGCTTGTGATGCGATCTACAGGTGTCGAGTGAGGACCAGGATGACCCCCGCTGGTCCAAGGGGGGGGGGGAAGGAGGCGAGTTCACTGAGGTGTTTGTGCCTGGCTTTGCCATCGAGGAGAGCAGCCGTCTCTCCCTGGCTCGGTCGCAGGTAGGCCTCATATGCTTTTTTGCGGGTTCCCGGGCAGTGTGAGTCTTAATTATAGTATCATTCGATGCCCCCAGGTTTCCCCGACTCGTCCTGTGCCCAGCTGGTGAGCGCGCCAATTTTTGAGGTATTTACACCCAATTATGTTGCTTTTTGCAGGAGCTGATTCACAGCACGTCCGACCTGCTCGGCAGTTAGGCTCCGCCCCCCCATCCACCCTAATCTTAACCCTTCCTAATCCTGTTACTCTCACCACCACCAAACATGCCACACTTACCTGCCTCCCACTCTGTCACATTAACTCCCCCTAATGCTGATAAACTCACTTTCTTTGGCACTATCATGTTAACTCCTAACCCTGTCACACTTATCCTCTATCATCCTTTCACACCAAGTCCCCTAACTATGCCACACTCACCCTGTCACATAAATCCCCCTAATCCTGTCATGCTCTTTATTTTTCTATGTATATAGCTATTCATACTGTTAAGTTATCTTTGTAAGGTACAGATGTCCTTCACCAGTAACAATTTCCTTACTAAAATTTTTTATTTTTTACTGGTTTTGAGTCAAGAGTTTAGCTCTAGTATTTGAGATATACTACTTGTGCTTCAGTAATATAGTGAAAAACAGTAATACAACAATCTAAAATTTTCTTGAACAACATAAATGAAAGTTGTTTTCATTCAATCAATCACAAATAACAACACAAAATGAAAAATGGAAAATACTCTATGAATTAGTGGGCTATTTGCAAGAGCACCTTGTCTTGGTTTGTCATTTGAACTCCTCTTCTGAGACATATCTTGTCACTGTCCAGCAGTAGTCAGCAAGCATTGAAGTCTTCCACATACCCTGATATCTTGGTTCCATTGCTGAAATGTCTTGTCACCGTGCTCATTACATACTGCACTGCATTTGTCAAGGGAGAAGTCCAGATGAGCGTTGAGAAAGTGGATTAAAAGTGACAGTGATATATGTTGCAGCCTAATTGATTATATTTTTCTAGAATGTTGTTTGCAAGCTGCCCTAGAAGCCATGCCAACAGCTTTAAAAGCTTCCTTCACCCCTTTCTTATTTACCTTGAGGACTCGCCAGAGATTTTCATACGTAAGAAGTTCATGAATTTGTGGACCAACAAAGGTTCCTTCTACAATTTTACTCACTCAGCAGTGGACATTTTCCTCTCAGATACTTGAACTTTTCTCCATCCTTGTTCATCCCCTTTACAAAGTTCTCCACTAGTCTGGGTTTGTGTAAAGTTGACAATAGAATTTTGCTATATCAGCAAGAGGACTGTGCTAGACAATTTTTTCCCCATGGCACAGATTTTTCCTTGGTGGACATACTTTTCTATTCTAGTGTGAAGATGTAGCCCGACTGTCCTACTCACAGAGGAAACAGCAATACTGGTTGTATCCAAGTTGCATGCCCAGCAGTAATACAGTCACCTTAAGGTCTCCTCAGATTTGCCATTGGTGATCTTTGTACGTAATTGCTTCCAAAGGAATTTCATATTCTCATATGTTTCCTTCATGTGGACTGCATGACTTACAGGAATTGAAGGTAGATAATTGCTATTGTGCAGTTTTTTAAAACTAAGGTTTAAGGAGTCTATAAATAGTCTCCAGTCCTATGGGATGCCTGCTGTAATCTCAATGGTTTGATGACATTCAAAACTGTCATCAAGCCATTGGGATTACAACACGCAAAGTTATTTTGCTTTTTAAAATATGGGAAGAAATATTTTTGTCAACTCTTGCTTACAGACACCTTAGCATTAGGTTATATTATTATTATTGGTATTATTATGTCACCAACAAATTCCACAGCGCTTTACAATATTATGAAAGGGGGGGAGAATTTACCATACATGAGACAATTACACAGTGACACAGGAACTTCATCCAGATGAAGTTAGATGAGGACCCTGCTCAGACGAGCTTACAGTCTAGATGAGGTGGGGTACAAATACACACTAGGGCAGCAAGGGTGACAGCCACCAAACAAGGTGGAAAAGTAGCAGAGCTGGAGGTGAGAGTGGAGTATGGCTCTGTAGGAGTGCAAAAGACAGACTTGGGTAAGTATAGATAAGTTACTCTGTGAGTCCATAAGCATTTCTGAACAGATGTGTTTTGAGGGACTTAAACAATTGAAGACTAGGGAAGAGTCTGATTGGGGGTAGGCAGGCTGTTCCAAAAGAAGGGAGCCGATCGTGAGAAGTCCTGCACGTGTGAGTTGGCAGTAAGGGTGGACAGGAGAAGGTCACCGATAAAGCGGAGAGACCGAGAAGGAGCATATCTACGAATCAGGGAAGAAATATAAGAAAGGCTAGAATTGGTTAGAGCTTTATAGGTAAGGGTTAATATTTTGAATTGACACCTATAAAATACATGAAGCCAGTGTAAGGATCGACAGAGGGGTGAAGTATGAGAAGAACGATCAACCTGATGGCAGCATTCATTACCAGTTATAGCGGGGCAGTTTGGCTTTTGGGGAGACCAACTAGGAGAGATTACCAGAACATGAACAAGCTCCTTGGCAGCATCTTGCATGAAAAATTGACGGATGCAGGCAATATTTTTAAGGTGAAATCGACAGGTTCTAGCAACATACTGGATATGTGGGGCAAAGGTGAGCCCAGGATCAAAGACAACACCAAGACAATGAGCTTGCAAGGATGGTCTGATGCAAGCACTGTCAACTTGCAGGGAAAACGGAGAAAGAGGATCAGCATTATGAGGGGGGAAAATAAGAAGGTTGTAGAAGATTCCATTGTTGGAGCCTTGTTTCTAGAAGCTCTACTTTGATCCAGGTCCCGATTTAGATCAGCTAGTTCACCCTGCGTAATTCTGTCTGGCTCACTCAGCGACTCAGATTGGGATACTTTGATGATGAAGGTGATTTCTTCTTCACACTGCCCCCACCTTCATCTGCCTGCACACTGTACTGTTCTCGAGGGTGAGGTTGATTGTCCCCATGTGGCACTAGTCAGACAGCTGACAGGATGTTGGGGTATTCCGCACTCCCTTCTTTTTTTTTTTTACATGCTATGCTTAATAGCAGGTGCCGCACAAAAAAGCAGTCATTTATATGATTTGTGGGCTCTCTCTAAATCATTGGGATGGCAAAATGCATTGAACATTTTTTTATTTAACCATCCAGGTATTTTCACAGAACATGTAGAAAGTATGAAGTGCTCTTGGTTTCTCCTGGTCCCATAGATGCCAAAATAATGGCGGTAGGATATTTTTACAAGTGGAGTAATTAGGTGTTTCTGGGTGGAAAATGTCATATTACCACAAATAACAAAAACTGTCAGCAACAAAAAAACATCAACAAAACATTAAGGTAAAGCATAACAACAAAACTAAAAAATAAAAGGAGCAATACTTTAACTGTAACTCCATGGAAGCTATAAGCAGACAATAAATAATAAGGTCTACAGTTACTCATCGTTCAGGTTTACCATGCCCTTAAAGGACCACTCTAGGCACCCAGACCACTTCAGCTTAATGAAGTGGTCTGGGTGCCAGGTCCCTCTAGGATTAACCCTTTTTTAAATAAACATAGCAGTTTCAGAGAAACTGCTATGTTTATAATAGGGTTAATCCAGCCTCCAAAACCTCTAGTGGCTGTCTCATTGACAGCCGCTAGAGGCGCTTGCGTGATTCTCACTGTGAAAATCACAGTGAGAAGACGCAAGCGTCCATAGGAAAGCATTGAAAGCATTGTAAACTTTGTAACAGTAGTCCCACCCCCAATTTATATTTATGGCCCCCACTCACCGCTCAGGGGTGGGGGGCCGGGGGGAGGACAGTAGGTCCCCCCTTTTATTTATGCCCCGCACTGACCGCTCAGGGGTGGGGGCTGGGGGGGTGGACAGTAGGTCTACTTAGGAAAAACGATACGTTCCCTAAAAGACTGGATGTCTCAACACAAGACTACGATTTGTAGCAGAACGTCTGATGCACCAGTCTCATTTTACAGAAAAGAGGCATAATGCTTCACAGCTACGTTACCAGGTGCTTGAAAGGTTTCCCCACTTACTAAAAGAGGTGATAGGGAAAAGATGCTTCTCCAAAAAGATGTCCGCTGGATGCACCTCCTGGATACAACAATATAGAAATTAGTCAAAAAATTCCTTTATTAACACTGAACAATTAGTATAAAAAGTTTCTAGACGCGTTTCGCCACAGCTGGCTTCATCAAGTAGAAATTAATAGCTCTAGACGCGTTTCGCCACAGCTGGCCTCATCAAGTAGAAACTAATAGCTATTAGTTTCTACTTGATGAAGCCAGCTGTGGCAAAACGTGTCTAGAAACTTTTTATACTTATTGTTCAGTGTTAATAAAGGATTTTTTTTTTTGGCTATTTTCTATATTGTTGCCATATTCCTTTTTCACTGTATTATTATATTATTTTTATTTTTCTTATTTTATCTTTTATGTTATTTTTTATCCTGACCTGACACCACTGTTTTACCATCTATAAGAAGCACCAAGAATCCCTAGGCGGGGATTGTACCACCCATACGCTACCCATCAAGCAGTGCGTCTGCTCAATATACTGTGAGTATATTTTATCCTGTTTTTTATCATCCCTAATAGTTATACAGGGAGCACTATACATTTTATTGGCTCTCATCTCGAGCTGGACTATCCTACTGAACTATCCTACTGAAGAATACTAGAGAAACTTCACATATCCTTGAGTGGGGATTGTTCCACTTTGCACAATTCAAACCAGAGCTGGATTTAAGCTCTGGATACAGTGAGCAGTTTCATTATTCTATACCCAATACCTTATATTACTACATACTGTACCATTGGAGTCTTATGTCTTCTGCTTCTCTCACATATATACCTCTGGACAACGAGTCTTCATCTGTGACCATATACCCCATCTGCTGTCCTACAAGGATCTATTCCTGCCAATAACTTTGGACTATTGCAGAATTGCTTGGACTTTTGAACATTTATATAAGTATTATTTTCACTTACTTCTAAGGCGCACCCTTTCTCTTTCCCTTTTTCATTAATGGCTGTGTGTTGAGTTATTTTGAGGGGACAGCACATTTACACTGTTATATAGGCTGTACACTTACTACTTTACATTGTAGCAGAGTGTCATTTATTTAGTGTTGTTACATGAAAAGATATAATAAAATATTTACAAAAATGAGCATCGTGAACAAAAATGAGATATGCTAGTGATGATTTATGTTATCACACTCACAGCTTTGTTACTCCAAACATGAGTTTTTTTTTATTATTCTAAAATATAATTTTGAACATTTAAAAGTGCAACAGTTAACACATCTGTGGAGTACATCACAGTCAAAACAAATATAAACAAAGGCAGTGATACAGCTTAACATAATTGTCTGGCAGTATTTAAGGACTATATTGTAATAAAAAAATATACAAATTGATGTATAACATCATCATAGCTTACGTCCTTCATCAGATACAGGACTATTTGATACAGACCTCATTGAATAAAGTATGTATACGCACTGTTTAGAAACAAAGTGGTGCTACGGAGCACGTCAACATCAGACTGAATCTTAGAGATGACAGAGAAATTGGCAGTTTTTTGCTGTTAAACAGGAAATTTGATTTATATTCACAAGAAATGTAAAACAATTATTATACACTTGCATTAAAATTGTGCTGTAGATGTAAATACATTTTTTTTTAATAAAATACATTATTTGGTCCATAGTCCAACATTGTTATTATTGCTGAACAATTCTTCCAGTTTAGTTTGAATAACATTTGGAATGAGTTAAAGAAGATATTGTCTGTCTGTATGATTAATACTGAAATTAGCAAAAATATTTTATTAAATGTATAAAAATAAAAATGTAATTTTATGTTATTTTTGCTTTTAAACAGGTATTCTTTTTAGAATTCAAAGAAGTAACAGTCTGCAACTAAATACTTTTCATATATAATTACTCGTACATTACACGAGAACCACTTGGTCATCAGATTACCATTAACCATTTAACTGTCAGAGTTGCGTGCAACACATTGTCTTGCTCTGCAACGCTTTGCAGCATGTTACCTTACTATTCTACCACCTAATGGGTTAATACAGACTCATATAGAATGTCTTAGTAACCCAGGGTGTGGTGTTGTTACTATCTGTTATTTAAGCACAGAGTATTTTTCAGTAAACACAATGAGGGAGATTTATCAATGTATCATATTAAAAGTGATGTAAGTTCTAAAAGTGGTGTATTCACTCTGGAAGAAATTCGAACCATCGGAGGCTATTTCACTATTACAACTTTGTACCACTTTTCTGATTGTGACGCCTTAACAGATTACAATCTCCTTTAAAACCCATTTTTCGTAAATAACCACTTCTGCAAAATTGCTTTTAAAATTAGTTTTCACTAGGCTGAGGTGTGACTTGTCATTTACAAAACACTGACTATTCGTTTAGATGTATTTTTTTTTCATTGTAAAAATAGTGAGTATTTACTGTAACAGAAAAAAAGCACACTGTACCTTACAATCCCATTGTTATCTAAACCCTATAGTGGTCAGTAAATTCTATAACAACACATTTCTAACTGACATTAGCTAAATTCTATGCTCTTATTAAAAATTCTAATCCATAGAAATATATGCTAATAATCCTTGTTAGTTTATAAAATCTTCCAAATTCATTTGATTGTTAAATGCAATTAAACTACCAACCAATTACAATGGGTTATCAAAAATTCATTTTAGTATTCATGTTAATACTTTTACAAAAGGGATACTACAACAAGTTCATAGACCCACAATCTGTTATTTGCAATGCTCTTGCTTAATACTTTTTGATCATAAAAAAAAAAAAAAAAGTTCTGCACTTTCTTTCAGTCTTAATAGTTTCCAAAGTGGTTTAAAAGACTTTTGACAGTTATAACAAAGCAGCTGATGTACGAAGTACACAGGACCGATGAGTGGTCTCTTCTGTTAGTCCATATAATATGTTTACATCTTTTCTTCTTTATTTACAAAAATACAATAATGAAATTCAACAGTCATTTGATTTCGGTTCCTCGTTGCTATGAATGCCCTTGAAAAACATTGCTACTGTTTTGATATTTGTCCATGTAATTGAAAGGAAACACAAACATACGATGAGATGCAAAGATGTACCGCTTGTTCAAAGATGTGCTTAGAAATCATTGGTCTTTGCAACAACCATTAATTCCAGTTGACAAATATGCTGTGAGTACTTATGAAGTCATAACAAGTACCATGTGGTTGTTGAGGCAAACAATTCACCGCCTCACATTGTCCGACGCAATAAAGTGGTTTTCCAAATGAAAAAAAAAAGAATATTAGAATTCCCTGGACTTCACAGTCTTTCTCTCTTAAATTCATGGTTTGATCTCTGAAACGGATTCATCAAAAAAAGAATCACAGGAAACTATCTTCCACCAGATCTGACGGATCGATCCCAATGTCGTCCATCATTTCTATATCTTCAATCGTCTCGTCCTCTCTCTTGATGAATGTGGAACTGCTGGAGCCAGTCTCAATTGCACTCTCGTCAGACGTTTGTGAACTGGAGAGAAAATGTAGGTACATTTATTAACTATTCTGCCAGTTTATAATTAATTAGCATTCATTTATTTGTTTCTATTGCTAAATTGCATGTAATTGTCATAGCATAAATATTACTGTGCGTCACATTTCAATGGCTTATAGTTGCTTTTGAGATTTTTTTCATTTTATTCCATTCAGGGAAATGCAATACTATCGGGATTTAATATATATTTAATATTTAATCATTTAATTTAGCATTTTTCTTTTGACCCTTGTACTTGTAGGATAGGGCAGAGATCATGCTTGACAAGAGGAATAAACTGTGTTTATCTACAGGGGTGGGCAACCTTCAGTACTCCACATGTGTGAACTACATGTCCCATAATGTACTTATAGCTGTAATGCTGGCATTAGGGGAAATGTAGTCATTTGGAGTGCCAAATGTTGTCTACCCTGATGTACATCTAACTGCATAGAACGGTCAATTGCCTTGCAGTCTACATTTCCCATGATGCTAAGTTGTACTTAATGCTGGCTATGCATCATGGGAAATGTTGTTTCCGAACATCTGAAGTGCTGTGGTAAACTCTCATATGCTATGTCTGCTTACCTGTGTCTGTTTCTTTTCCCTGATTCATCCTCTGACACGGGGTCAATGTCCGGCAGGGGAATAATGTAACCACTGTCGGCACTAAGCCGTTGTTCATCAAACCCACTTTCCCTGTCTTTCATTTTATGTTCATTCTTGTAAGTCACCCCGATGTATGAGTTGTCACTGTCGCTTCTCATGCGAGTAACTGCTGGATGGTCGCTTTTAAGGAAATCATGAAGAATTTTTTCGTAACACTGCAGATTCAAGAAAAAAAGCAAGAGTTGTCATTGTTTACAGTTTGAAACCAATGTTTTTTCCAGTTTGGTTTCATTATCCATAGACTTTCTTTCAACAGTACCTACAGCTGATTTGTTATTATTATTGTAACTAAAATACATAGTAATTTCTAAGCAAAATTATCCTGTCTAGAAACCAATAATCTGTTTTGTAAATATGTGGTTTAATTATTATTATTTTTAGAATTATTATCACTCAGGAGTATTACAGAGGACATGAGTGTTTGTTTAGGTACATAAACCTCTGTCGTAGTCAGGCTTATGTCAAGTAACACTCAAGAATACCTGGCTTCAACTTTCCTAGTATTTCCTGACTTGTTCAATATTTGCCATAATTTTGGCTAGGTTTTTAAAGCAACACCATAGGCACTATAACCATTTCATCTCATTGAATTAGTTACAGTGCCTGGAGTCCCCTGTCGTTGTTTTTCCATTAAGTGTTAAACGCTTTTTGAAAATTTTAACACTGAATGAGGATCCCTGGCAGCCCAAAACTCCCTAATGGAAAACAATTAATGTGGGATCAATTGACGCAAATCGTACATAATGTGGGTGATGTACAAAGACAAAATACAGGCACTAGTCTGGAGCAAATTGCAAAATAAGGACTAATCCCATGGAAAACAGGATGTATTTGGGCATTGAGCACCTTGACCCAGAATAGAGAGTGATTAAACTTGATAAATCTCTTATCTAGTGTGAGAACCAGAAACCAGAGGAATCATCAGGAACATTCTACTACGTCCCATGGTGATATATCAACTTTCACAACTTTGTCCCCCTTTACTGTGTGTGATACTTCTATAACATTCAGCTATTCAATGAACATTTTGGAACAAATGTGAAGAGGGGCCCATTACACCTAGAGTCTCAAGCTAATTTTAATACTTAAGTTGACAAATCTAGATTTGTTTAACCAGAAAGATAGATAAACATCTGGTTCACTTGATTCTTGTATAAAGACTCAAGAACCATTTCTAACTTTTTTATTGCCTAAACATTGTTAAACGTGTAATATAGATGGACTGTGGCTCAGTGATATAATTGTAAACAAATGGAAGACATATAGAAAGAGTTCTTAAAAGAAGGACATCTGCACTGCTATCAAATAGTTTTTTTAAATGTATTTTATCAGTTTAAGTGAATAATATTGAAGATTATTATTATTAACTACTAACATTAATAGCTTACATAGCAACTAACTGTATGCATGTTACATTAAGAGAAGTCGACTTATAAACATAAAGAGTGTGGGTACCTTTTTGTATTCTCCAGGTAGAAGGCTTTCGACAATATCGCTCAAGTGACCAAATGAAGGTCTTTTCTCTGGTTCACTATTCCAGCATTTGACCATGATGTCATACCTATAGATTAACAGTGAGAAAAGTTAGTGTAAATTAATTTGTCATTATTATGCCTCTTATTCCGTGTACAATTCTTGTGACAGGTTATTAGATGATATAATGACACAATGGAAGAGTATCATTGGTATCGTTGGCCACACATGGACATCAGTCTAGCGTATACCATGTTCCAGATTATTGTGACATAACTTTCATTGCATTATTACTAGGTCCTTTCAGAACTCTTTCTGCCGTGAGGAGACCTGAATGATGTCTGTAGGTAGGTAGAAGCTCATAGCTC